GGAAAAAATCCCTTTTTGAAATATTTTTTTGCATTACGGGGTTGTGAAGATTGTTAAGTTACACATTTTTGAAACCATGAACCGATCAATGTTAGACCACCATTAGAAACCTGGAAGCACTCACTGGACGGCCGTCAAGTCCTGGTATGGGACTCCTCAGCAGTGCGCATCCATGACTCCTGCACCCCGCAGGATTCAAACCCAGGACCTCCGGCATTTGTGAGCGAACGCCCTAACCGATCGACCACTGAGCCGGTATCGAACGGTGTTAATGTCTAACTTGATCAAATTCTTTTTTATAAAGTTCTGTGATTATTATATATATGTAAGTCGTTACTATTCATATTTCAAAAATAAATTACGAAACTATAATTAAAATCATTACTTATTATTATTACTACTACTACTATTATTATCATTAATAGTAGTAGTTATTGTTGTAATAGGTCATTAATTTCCGGTAGATAAATAAAAAACTATTTTCTTCTTTTTTTTCCGGTATTCTTTTTTTTCAATAATTATAATAAATACTACTGTTTTATCATAAAAAAAAGAACTCATTATTGTTAGTATTATTTTATTAAAACAATTTAATCTATCTATCTTCTTATTCATATTTCCTTTACACCGCGTTTTTTAGTTGATAATCATTTTACAAAGGTCAATTCATTGTTCAACATTTGTGTGTGTGTGTGCTCGGAGGGACTGCGGTACACTTGTTTGTATGCTATTTAACATTGAACAACTAACTACTCATTGTTCTTGTAACAAAGAGTAACGAATTCATTTGAAACTATAATTCGAATCATTATTGTCTCTAATTTTTTTTTATTTTAGTTGATTTTTTTTTAATAGTAATATTAAAAATAAATTTTAAATGTTATTATTAAATATTCTTTACTTTGTCATGATATAATAACAGAAATGCATATCTGAAGCATCATTTCCTTTCAATTTTTCATTGAACAATGAACAATGTTTCGCTTTGAACACACACACACCAAAAAAAATCATACTGTACAACATATCTAAAAAAGAATATGTTTTATATTGATGAGAAAAATTATAAAGACAAAAAAAATGTTTCGTAAAGTTTTTTTATTTCAAATAATGATGTTATAAATGATCTTCTATTATATTATATTGTTCAATGAGCAAGCGCGCACGCAAGCACTCGCGCGCGCGCGAACACACACACACACGTACAAGGCATGCACGGGGAATAATGCCAATGGCTTGATACATTCACATAATTAGTTTCTTATTATTACAATGTTAACTTATGTAGTATTGTAGTGAATGAGAATACAGGTGAGGCAACCGAATTGTCTTTAACGAAAATTACAGCGTTACTCAGTAAAATAGGAAAACCATATCGTAAATCGTTCATTTGCAAAATATCAGTTAATCATATCGAACTGGACTGTTCCTGTTGCAAAACATCAATCCATTGTCACTATTCATGTGTTTCATACAAATTCCATTTTGTTCTAACTCTTCCTTTCTTAATCTTCCCACATCTTCTGCTGCCAGACATTACGTTGACACTCACGTCATTGTACTACTTATAAGTAGCTCGCACCACACTAGTAGCTACAATAGTTTCATTTACACATGAATATGAATTTGAAATTACTGCGATTGAAATGTTCGAAGTTGTACTTGAGATTTGCGTTTGCCAGTTTTTGTCTGACCCTAGTTTTGCATACCATCAAAACTCATGTTTACTTGGTATGGCAACCGTAGATTGATGAATCTATCTTACTGAATTTTTAGTATGTTTCCAAATGACTTAAAATGAAAGTTTACAGCAAACGACCCTTTAAAATAACCACAGCATTTTTTAAAATGTTATATAATCTTTAAAATGTCAGAAATGAAGAGGAAAAACAATTTGATTTCAAAGGAAGTACTTTTTTGGTCAAACATTTGTTGGTTCAGTGAACTCCGATAAGTTCATTCATTTTTTTTGATCAGTTGATTGAAAAATGCAATCAAAAATCAATTTTTAAGAATTGCTTTTTTTTTATCCTTGTTAATGCAAAGATTCATCACTTCAATATTACCAAAAATTTTTTTTGATGAAAAGGGAATAAAGGTTATATTTTTGTTCCCTTAATCTAATTGAATTTGCATTTTCAAAAATAAATCCATCTTATATAAGAAGATCACACTAGCAACCGGATTTAATGAATCATTTACAAATCTTGTATATCCATATTAAATTCTGTAAATCAATTAACCACAAATGATTTATACAAGGTTATTCGAGACATATATGTCGCAATTGTTTAAAAGCGAATGCTAAAAAAGACTTTAATTTTAAAAAAACAGTATTCCTTTTATTTTTTCAAAAAAGATTTAAAAAAATAACGTAGACAAAATTTTAAAAAAAATTTTGAAAAAACCCCTGTTAAAAATTTAAAAACCGAGTTGAAATACTGGCATCTGCGTCTAAAAATAAAATAGGACTTAAGTTCTGTCTAATTATTCCTCTATCCTGCAGCGATATTTAAAAGGTATGGAAATGAGTGTGTGATTAATATGTTGAGCCCTTACGGCTTGTCCTAGCTTTCGGATAAATTAATTGATTTTTTCTACTCGGGTTATTAGTCATATATGCCTTTTGACCTTGTCAATCATTCGCTCATAACCTTGGTTGTTTTTTTTTTGCATTCAAGTGTGTGTGCCGCTTATTCAGCTTATGACATGTCTAGCTTATTTTATCTGACCATAAATAATTATTCATACTTCAACCTTAACCGTATTTGGCTTTTTATTACCACCGTCTCGCAAATGGAGTTTGCCTGTGTATAAAAAATGGGAACTGAAGGGCAGATGTATTTCATCAAATACTCAAACGTTTCTGACAAAGTGGAGTCAAGCCGCAAGCAACTCAAATGGTGAGCCTTACTTGAAATTTAATGGCAGCCACTAAAAGTTTTAATTCTGTTGTAGCTTAGCCACAGGGAAAGCTGTAGTGAAGGCATTTACAATGATCATTTCACTGACCAAAAATTAAATCCAGGGTTTATAGAAGAAAGTTAGGCAGCGACGTATTTCTGACCATACACGATGTGGACTGACTATCTGCATCGCTTCAACAATTATCATCGCTGGAAGTTCCCGGACAACCTTTACTTTTTGCGACTCATGAGGAGTAATCATGAAAGCTGAAACCCAGAAGGACTGAATGATACCACAACGAGTGTAGAATATCGTCTGATTTGAAATGGAGAAAATCAGGGAGAACTTGATAAACACTATGCCAATTTGCGACATTTCTACAATTGAGGAACATCTGGAACTCAAAACAACTATCAACCAACACCAAAGTCACAATTATCAACATAAATGTCAAGACAATCGTACTGTATGTGGAAGAATCTTGGAGAACCACGAATGCTATCATACGGAAGATATCGGTGTTTATTAACAGTTTTCTATACAAGATACTTCAGATCTGCTGGGCAGACAACATCAGCAACAACCTACTGGGGGAGAGAACAAACTAGATTCCAGTGGAGGACGAATTCAGGAAGAATCGCTGGAGGTGGATAAGACATATATTAAGGGACACACGCAACTGCGTCACAAGTCAACCCTCGTTTTGAATCCTCAAGGCTATAGAAGAAGAGAAGACCAAAAAACACATTACTCTGAGAAGTGGAGACAGGCACAAAAAGAATGAGCAGCATTTGGATAGAGTTGGAAAAGAAGTCCCTAAACAACGTAGGTTGGAGAATGACGGTCGGCGGCTTATTCTCCGCTGAGAGTTACAGGAGTAAATAAGTAATTTAGTCAATTTGCGAGCTCTTAACAACAATGCACAACTACACACACTGCAGAAATGAACCGATTATTTTTATTACTACAGAGAGTATGATAACTTTTAAGATTGTTAAGTTGGTGAAATGTGGCCGAGTTTTTGTTTAGTTTCAGTCAGTTTGTTATGACATACAATAAAATTACTCACCATTATTATTATTACTCCCATCATCATGATGGTGGAACAGTTTTTTACTGAGTGAGTCAAGTCGAGATTGACTATGATCAACACTAAATACTAATTACTAGCCCGTCACCAAAAAGAAAAATAAATTAATCCAGGGTAAAAAATATATTTGCTGGTGATCTGTTGGTGTCGAAAGAACACCGAAATTACACCAAGAAAGTGAGCGAAATAAATAGCAGCTACAGCAAAGAATGGCAGCAACAAAAACAGAAAGTTGCGCGTAAAAAAGTGTTATAAACAAACACTGGTTATAATAATGAATGTTTTCATCACACCACTTGCTTTCTCTTTATAAAAGCATTTCACTACAGTTTCACTAGTTTACTGAAGTTAAACACTGGAACTATTAAATTAAAATCAGTTCCTTTAAAGTTGATATATTTCTGTTAAGGATGTTAGATCTCCAGGGCTCGCTTGATAAATGCCTTATTTTGGATTTCACGTTTGCGAGCATGGGCTGATCAGTTGACCTTGAGATTTCATTTCCCATGAGGTAACTCCTTGGCTGTGATTGGCTGCTGTGTATTTTAGTGTGCTATTTTTGTGACTGTCCCAAGGACGTTCCTATGATGTATAAATAAACGAGAGTTGTGTGCTCGATTGTGTTGTGTGATTGCTGGATGTTTGTAGAATATACTTTCCTCTCTTATCAGGACTTCTCTATTGTAGTTTTGGGATCAAGGTAGCCTATCTGGACGCTGGTTCATTGTCTCGTTTGCGTTTATAGACTAAGGTGAACTCCTAATACCTTCAAGCGTACCTACTGACGAACCTAACAGTTTGCAGTGAAATTATGAGATCCAAGCATCGATCCTTAGTATGGTCTTCGGTAGACACAAATGAGAACTCTCAAAAGCCACAAAAGTTAGTGTTCACTATGATGACAAAAATCATCTCCGTATGGAATTAATCAGTATACTTTATTTAACCAAAATCAATCATGCCTTAAAACTATATTGTTTGTATTATATTGAACATTTTACAGGAGAAAAATCATCCTAACCTACATGTGACAAGCATTCTTGATCGTTCGTTAGTTTCATCACTCAATAAATCAGAAGGTGAAGATGTTCAATGTTCAACGACAAACACTCATTTATCATTATCGAACCTTACTGCGTTTAATTTCACACTTTCAAATGATTGGTCTAATTTTTTAAAAATCCATTTGGAAAAGTATACCGACAAAGCATTTTTATTTGATGTCACTTTAACACCTGGATTTAAATCACATGGTGAGATCAAATCAATAAAACACCTGCATCATTGTTATGAACCATATCATATAAGTCAATTCCGAATAATTGGTCAATATCAGAATGAAACAAATTTTGATTATGATATAACAAAATTTGATTTTTCAAAAGACACTTCTTTAAGGAAAATTCCTAGCCAAGGAGATTGTGAACGTTTATGTTGGGCAATCAGACAACCATATTTATATAAAAATGGAGGATTATGGATATGTGGTAAAAAGTGAGTTGAAAGTTATGATTAGTCAGTTTTCATCAGACTGTATGAAAATCTAATCTATTTTTTATAGTTTAAGTTACAAGCTGATCTTAATTAGACAATCGTTAAACGATA